TTGGGCACGCATGCACACGCGCCCGGCGTGAGTTTAAGCCACTGGGTCCGGGTCGCGAACCACGGTCGACTATGTGGGAGTCTAGCGACATAGCCATTACGCTAACTGCTGGTTTCCACACCTCTAAGGATCTTGAGCATGCACACACGCGCCGGGTGTGAATTTAAGCCACCAGGTTTGGGATTCGAACCATGGTCAACTATGTGGGAGTCCAGAGACATAGCCATTATACGAACTGCTGGTCCTCCCAGTCTCTAAGCTTTCCAAGTCTCTCTCTTTTTTTTTTTTAAATTATTTTATTGAACTTTATTTATTTATTTATTTTAATTTGACCAAAGAGAGACAAAGTGAGAGAGAAAGCGAGAAGGCAAGCTGCCAGGTCCGAGACTTGAACCGCGGTCAGCTATGTGGGAGTCCAGCACCCTTAACCACCATGCCACCCGCTGGCCCCAGCTTTCTAAGTCTCTTAACTTCATCGTACTTTTTACATACAGGACATTTATTTATTTATTTATTTTATTTAATTTGTCCAGAGAGAGAGAGAAAGCAAGAAAGCCAGCCACCAGGTCCAGGGCTTGAACCTCAGTCGGCCATGTGGGAGTCCGGCGCCTTTAACCACCACTCCACCTGCTGGTCTCCAGGACATTTAAATCTCTCAGAGAGATTCCCCATGTTTTACACCCAACAAATACATGTTCACTCCTCACTCTCAGGGTTTTTCCTTTACTTTCTTATCACCAGCCTCTGGAGCGTCCACTCGCATCATCTTCCACACTTGGGTCCCTGTTCCGGTGCCATATGCCCCTGCCAGAGGGTGAAGAGATTCGGTACCCCAAGGGGAAGGGCTGTGGATTGAGAAATGACAGGCAGCAAAAAGTGGGGACCAGGTGGAAAAAGCCATGGCCCCGAGCCATTCTGGGCTCCTCCTTCTTCTTAAGAATTATTTTAGGCTGGAGTCCGGTCCACATATCCTCTCTCGGGGTGGGGAGGGGGGCTGGCTGATAGGCAGTGAGAGTGTGCTCAGCTCTGCGACCATGGGCGGCTGAGAATCCGGTCCTTAGTGCAGTCAGTCCTGGACCCGTCCTGTGCCCGAGTTCCAATCCAGATGTGAAATCACTCTTCTAACCCACCTCACAGAAGACTGTTGACATCCTAATCGGGGCGATTCCAATAGCCTGGCTTGCAGAACGTTCCAGGTTCAGAGAATTTCCTTTTGTAAAAACTTCAACAGGATGACTACTGGAGGTGCCCGATGTGCTTCCCTCTCAAGATGAAAGGACCAAAACAAAGACTAAGCAGTTGGGGACCAGCAGTAAGCGTAATGACGATGTCGCTGAACTCCCATGTAGTCGACCGCCGACCCAGTGACTAAACTCACGCCGGGCGCGTGTGCGTGCGTGCCCAAGATCCCGAGAGGAGAATGGAGGAGAAGGGACTGCGGCGTGGCCATCCCCCCGGGGGGTGATTTCTCACTTTCTGTCTGTCTCTCTCTTTCTGGCGAGTGCACGTCCCTTACAAAAAAAAGGCAGCGGCAGCAGCTGATAGCCATTGCTGAGTTTGAGGGAGGGTCAAGTGCAGTGTGGATGTGACAGAGACACCGCAGAGCACAGGGACTCAGGAAGGCCTTGCAGAGCGGGGAGCAAAGCGCTCAGCATCTCCTGCCCCGTCACCCAATTCAAGGTTGACTAGGAATGAGAAGGGACTTCTTGTTTGGGGGCAAGAATAAGCAAGAAACCCTCAGCAGTCCCACTGATGCCTTGGACACCTGAACTTTACCACAGGAATTCCACAGCCCTCACAGGCCCTGAGCCCAATTTAGGGAGTGACCAGGGGTTGTGCACACTGCTGAATTACCCCAGAGGAGGAGTCCAGTCTTTGTCGTACCATCCCCCACACAGGTCGTGGCTGCACAAAGCCACCCTGTGACCATGTCCACCTGCATCCTGCAGGAGCAGCTGGGCCAGCACCCTCTCCTACAACCACTGGCACCAGGAGCTGTTGGAGCCTCACCTCCCCACACACCTATGTGTCCCATGGGAGCAGCAGACTGAGCAACCCTGATCTCTGCTTAGTTTCAGAGAGGGCCTGACCCTCTGCATCTTGAAAAGCAGGTTGAGAGAGTGACCTCGGACACAGCTTACTGCTTGAGGAGCACCACCCTACCCCGTTCCAAGAACAGTCAGCCTAAGCCACTGAGTCACTTCTAGGAATCACTGAGACTGATCACAGCTGAAGATACTACATGTAAGCTACACTACTGTGCCTAGCTAGAGCCAAAGCCAACACACTACACAACTGCCATCCTAGGACACAACTATGGAGAAAGTCTTTTCA